TGAGGAAGCGCTATGCTGTTTTCCAGAGTGGTTGAACCATTTTATAGTCCCATTGGCAATGTAGAAACTGCTTTTCAAAGAAACTGTTTTTATACTAACGATCTCTGGTGGAGCTGTAGGATAAGCATTGAACTGCTAACCTCAGGGCCAACAGTTCAAACCTATCAACTTATTTATGGGCGAAAAATGAAGCTTTCTGCTCCTGTAAAGATTCGCATTCTCGGAAGCTCTTTACAAGGTTGCAGTAAGTGAGTGAATTGTTCTGCTGTACCAAAACAGAGTGCTGCAGTAATATATAGATATTGCTTGGACTCGATTAACAAATCAATATAATTCAAAATTTTCCTCATCTGATTCTCTTTCTCTGATGAATTCTACTTTGATTTTCACCAATATTCAAGTAAATATTTTTACTTACTGTTTCTGAAGTATATTCCTTTGTCTCATATTCAAGCTCTCTTGGTTGCAAAGAATAAAACACAGTTATGTAAGAATATCCATGAAATGGACAGTTCATTAACTGAGGAACCTTTAGGGACAGCAGTTTACTCCTGTTTATATGTCCAGTCTTTTCATTTTGGGGATCAGCTTCCTCATTCTTTACCTGCTCTTTTCTTCCTTCACTGTCTTCTATTTATTCATTAGTTCATTCAGCAGATATTTACAAAGCATCAACAACATTTCCGATGTAGCTCTATCACATACAGTTTTGGCTTGCTGAAATCCTGACTTAGAATATGGCGTCCATTAGCTCCACTTATCAAATTCTCCCCATATTTCTTAGTTCAAATTCCTAACGAAAGAATCTTATTGACCCAGTTTATGCCAGCCCATACTTAGATTGTTGAATGGTTGATGGCCCAGTTCCTGTTTGTGTAGCTGCACAAAGAAGGATGAGAGAATGTAGACAGAGCATCCGTTCATTACCCTGTCTTGCCCAGTATCTGCCATAAGTGTTCTCGGGTCTTACATGTGCATTTGTTTTATCTCCCTAACCATGATCTATATACAGTAAGTCTTCAGTGAACAGCACTGATACAACCAATCACTTCTTTCCATGGAGTTAGGCCGAGAATCACAATTCTTTCTCCGCAAAGCCAAGCTAGATACCATTGAGTGAATTCAGACTTATGGTGGCCCTGTGTGTGTCTGAGTAGAAATGTACTCCATAGTTTTCAATGAGGGAGTTTGGGGGGAGGGGAGTAGATCACCAGATCTTCCTTCTAAGGTAACTTTGAGTCAACTCAAACCACCAACCCTGAGGTTAGCAGTGATCATGTTAACCGTTTGCACCACCCAGGGACCCCTGTCAAAGAAAGCACAACTAGTTATTAGAGTATTTTATATGGTAAAGAACCATTGTTACATCATACCATTGTTAACACTCTTGGCATTTGAAGATAAAGGTGAAGTGAGAGTAAGAGCCAGAGGAAAATGGTAGGTGACAGCAAGCATAGGGCAAGCCAACTAAAAGCCACAAATCAATCTTAGTGCTGTCAAGTTGATTCTGGTGCATAGTGACCCTATAGGACTCTGTAGAACTGCCCCTTAGGATGTCCAAGACTGTACATCTTTTTTTTTTTTTCTCTCTCTCTTTCATTTTGAATATGTAACAGTAAGATTATAATCTTTTTTTTTTTAATTGCATTAACAAGTCACACACTTTCATTTCAATGACTGCAACCCATCCAACTTCCTCCTTGCATTCCTGTTCCTTACCTCCACTCCTCTCTCTCTCTCCCCACCCCTCTGAACTTTGTTCTTAGGTAAATGCCACCCTCATGATCCCAAGTGGTTGACAGCTCTTATGATGTACACACCTCACCAGTGCGTTTCCTTCACCCACCCGGCCCCGCTGCCCCTTTTACACCTATCAACTGCTTGGCTGACAACTGAGACACGTGGGTGAATCCAGCTCCAGACTCTAAGGGTGGCTGAGGGCCCTAATCTTGGGCTCCTCCAGTATCTTTCTGACCAGCAAGACTGAAGACTGTAAATCTTTACGTATGGTGACTGCCTCATCTTTCTCACACTGAGTGGCTGGTGGATTTGAACCGTCAACCTTGTGTTTTGTAGTCCAATACTTAATCTGCTTGCATCATCAGGGGTCCGTCAGTCTTCTAAGGAGCATGCACATAGAGACGATTAGTCAGTGTTTTGACTCAGCTTCCTCCTCATCAATCCTGGTGTATTAATTTTAGCTGAGGCTCTCTCATGTAGTCTTTTTTTTTTTTTTAAGTGCCAAAAATATGCAATTTTACCAGCTTTGTGATATGCAATAAAAGGGGGAGGGGACATCCTTCCATACACCATTCTACCATTTTGATTTGTTGTTGTTGTCAGGTGCCATCGAGTAGAAACCGACTCATAGTGACCCCATGCACAGCAGAACAAAACAATGTCCGATCCTGGGCCAACCTCACTACTGCTGCCACACTTGAGTCCATTTTGATTTAGCTAACATTAATTTAGAAAAGGCTAGAGCAGGTATATTTGTGTATATATGTACATATTTTCATATTTTAGTTCCATCATTGTCCATGTCTTTATTCCATTTCAGTCTTTTAAAACATCCTTAAAAGTCATCAAATGCATCCTAATACCAGTATCTCCTCATCAATCATTCAATACTGTTTGTATTGTATTCAATTTGTATATTAATCACATAAGTGATTGGTCAAACTATATAAGACATACGGGGGAAATTTTAAACTTATACTTTATGTGTCACAAGTTACCCATTACATGATTTTTTTCATCATTATTTGCAACTTCACACATCTTGAAGTTCTCTGTGCAGTCTAGTTCAGCTTCTAGTGCTGTACATATCTACATCTTCTGGATGGGACTGCCCGGGATCCATGAGCTTGGGGTCAGACAGAAACTGTGCAGTACCTGAGGTGGGTTCTGATTTGGTCTTTGTTTGAGAGCTGAGTTCTGTTGGCAAAGACACTGAATGTTTCAGTACTTGAGTTGTCTTTGTAGGTATTTCTATTTCAGCATGAATTCCTACCTTAGTTTTTCCATTAGGTTCAGTGAGCTATTCTTTTTTGTTGCTTTTTGTAAGTGATGATTAAACTGCTTCATAAATTTGCTGACTTGCATCAGATGTCTTTTTCCCAGTTACCTTTGCAATTATTACTGACTGAACAGGGTAGCAAGCAGTTGCTCCTAAAGTGGCTAGTCCCAACAGCTAAGCAATTTTCTTAAACCTAGAACCTTTTCTCACTGAAATCAAGCTGGCCAATCCTGAGACAGTAATCACTCCAATTTTGGAAAGAAAATCTCCAGGAGGATTCTTTAGATAGATGTATGCATCTTTTCCAAATTGTACTGTATCCACTATCCCATTTTTCACAAAGACATACATATATACCCTTGAAACAGCCAATATATCTATCAGTTGTATGGTGGATGGAAGCAAAGGCCATCTGCAAATTACCAGGCTGCTCTTCAACATAGTTAGACTGCAGAGGTGGTGCAGTATATACTGGGAGGTGCTTTGCTTTCACGAGCTGTTTTTTAGATTCCTCTTCTTTGGCTGCAAATACACTTATAGATAGATGCACATATCAGACCTGTAGGCATGGTAGTCACCTTTCCCATTATAATGATCACCATTTCTGCCAGCCTCTCTGCTCAGGTCTTTCATCTCTCTCATATAGTCTTACCTGGGTTCTATCATCTGGCTCTTAGTTGGCCTTTTTCTCCCCATGTTAGAGCTTCTGCTGACCTTTTTCTACAGCACTAGTTCCACCCCCCACCCCCGAGTGATTCTATAATTTCTCAGTACAGAAAGGACACACCACCTAATTCACACTCTATGACCCCACCCCCAACACACATAGACAAGTATCAAATCTTTAACAGGACAAATACATTCTGACCCCACCCTGTTTTCTCTCATATTGACTTCCACTATTTCCTGCTACGCCACACCAGCCTGTCCTCTCAACTCACTATAACCATTCAAGCCTCCTTGCCTTGGGATGTTCTCTTTTTTCTACCTGTCCCTGTAATCCCTCCATCCCCATCTATCCTCAGTGTCCTTATCTTTCCCTCACCTTCCCACAGTCCAAAGGTGAAGTTCCCCACTGTGCTATCATAATGTTTGGTGTTTGGTTTAGATGTTAGACCTTAGTTACTTCTTGTTGGCATGCTTCCTCCCTCAGACTATGTTCCTTTTCGTGGGAAGAAACATTCTGTCATCCATTCATCTTCACACCTAACACCTAGTAAAGGTTTTAAAACAGTAAAACAGCTGTTTTAAAACAGCTTTTTGAAGGAATTATATTTATGGAGACAACAGTTGCCTTTTTAATATTTGATATGTTCTTGGACTAGATATTGAGAGCTCTTAATGTGTGGAAGCAGTAACAGGTTTTTAATATCACCATGTTAGTTACTTGACTAGAAAAATACAAATATCATTAATCTGTGTTAAACGCTAGTTAGTGTGTAATACTTAACAAGTATTAAAAACAGGGGACTGGATTTATTCTTCCTCCTTAACTTTAAATTTTAACTCTTTCAATAGTTTTACTTAACAAGTGCCGAGGATACATAAATGCTCATTGTGCTAAAATTAGCAATATCAACTGCATTTAAAAAATTGTTTATACACACTATCAAATTCATTTGACTTCTAATAATGGAAGTGTAAATACATGAAGTGATCACTTTTACAATTGTTCTGTTTCTTTAAGAGACGTGGTTGTTAGGTTAGAAGATCATTGAACCATAATAGGGTCAATAAAAGAATAAAAAGTCACTGGTTAGCGATTTGAATACGAGGAACTTGATCCTTGCTTAGTCTCTTTGTGTCCATACATTGCTCACAGTCAAAGGGGGAACATTTTATCTTGGGCAGCAGGTCCTTGCCCAGGATGGCTTCTGGAAGGCTAATTAAGCTTGTGGTTTTTGAGCTTCTTGAACTTGCTGCTTTTTCCATTCCCACACTTGTAATTGTGGAGCAGTTTGCCACTGCCTATCAAAGAACAAGGAATATATCTGAGAAGACACATTACTGGCTTATTGTTTCCTGCTCTATTGCCTACGTAGCTTCTGTGACTCTATTGATTTGGGTTCCTGTGAAAGTTATATTGTACAAGAAACATCATCTTCGCAAAAAAATTAAAGGATGGTAAGTAAATGCAGGAGTCCTGCTAATTTAGTGGTTAAAGGATTCGGCTGCTAACAGAAAGGCCAGTGTTTCAAACCTGAGGGAGAAAAATTTGACAGCTTGCTTCCATAAAGGCCTTAGAAACTCTATGGAGCAGTTCCATTCTATCCTATAGGGTGGCTATGAGTCAGAACAGACTTGGTGACAGTGGGTCTGGGTTTTTTTGGTTTAAACAAATGAATTATTTGGCAAGGAATCCCTGTGAAGTTTTCAAAGGCATTCTAATGTACGGTGAGTAAGGATATTGGTGTAGAATCAAGGCATTTACAATGAGATTAATGGGAAGTAATAATCACTGTTTCTGTAAGTATCTTGATGTTATGGTATGTTCTGTAATTTCTCTAGGATAAGTTTTCCTGAGTGTAGTAACAAATTATCATGTGTTAATCAGTTAGCAAGGGAGCTCTGGTAGCGTAGTGGTTATGAATCGGGCTGCTAACCTCAAGTTTGAAACTACCAGCCATTTCATGGTTGAAAGATGAGGCTTTCTGCTCCCGTAAAGATCTACAGTCTTGGAAACCCTATACAGGGTCACTATGAGTCAGGACTGACTCTGTGGCACACCACCACCACCACCAATAAGTTAGCAAGAGTCTACAATACCTTGAATAGTAAGTGTTGGGCCGAATTCCTCTATACTTAACTGCATAACGTTATCATAATTAGTTTATCAACATTAGAATATCAAGATGATAATATAAAATTTTACTTCTGCATAAACCCGTGTAAGTATAGTCTATTTTTTAATACTTCCAATTACATTACTTTGCAGGTCTAAAGCATACTTTGACCATAAATGAACTGAGAGTTTTAAGCAACTAGCTCCATTACTAAGATTTAAAAAAATAATACTTTACTATGCTGGTAAATTTTATTACACTTGCTAGGAGTACTTCAAGGGTAACACAGAACTCTTAACTAAATTAAGATTTAATGTTGACTTAACAGTTCAACTGCTAACTGTGCTAATCCATGTGAAGGTGTTGAGAACGCTCTCTGTTCCATTAATAGTTTTCTTTTTAGACGTTCAGAACTTACTGTAACTAATCTGGGATTTCTTGAAATTTTATTTCATGCTGTTTTGTTTTTTTTAAAGTTGAACACAGAGCATATTTTATAATCAGGCAGCTGGGAATTGTAACATAAACAAGGGCAGAAATAGATAAAAATATAAAGATAGAGTAATATAGCTACACACATCAGTGGTAGACAGCCTAAGGAGAGCGCGAAAGTGTGGCATTCATGATGCATTCTTTAGGTACTGATACTAGATGTGACCCCAGAACCTTTCAGTTTCCTGTGGGCTATACTATTGACAGTTCCGGAAGAAACTATTTTGTTTCATCAGCAGTATTTAGAGGCTTTCTAAACCTTGACCTAGAGCCACAGAGCTACCTATGGGGTGGACTTGGATCTGGGTTGAGTCCTCCACCTCTCAGACGCTTCCAGGTGTTTCTTTAACTGTCTAAGACTCATGGGTGGGCAATAGGTTTTGAGGGAATGGGGAAAGGTCCAGTGACACAGGATAAACCCCGGGGAAGCTGGCTCACTTTAGCCTAAGAAGGTACTGCCTGGTGTGCTTTTTACATTACCTCAGATCCCTAGATCCCTAGTTCCAAATGCCATTCAGAAAACACATTTTCCCATATCCCTTCTTCTTTTTCTTGGGCTGTCACAGTTTCTTTACTGATCACTTACTATGTGCCAAGAACATTATATATGGATTAGTTGAATTCTATACCACCTCTTGAAGTAGTTGCTTTCAGGAGTTTATTATTATTCTATCCAAGAAGGAACCAATGATTAAAGAAGTTAGGCAACTTTCCCAGTCAATCACTTTGTGTGGGGAAGAGTCAGGGTTTGGATCTAGGTCTGTCTGAGTCCATAGCTAGTACTCTTAACTACTATCCTAAACAACTTCTTTGAAAGATGAAGTCCCAGTCTCGAGGGGGAAATTGAGATTCAGGGAGAGAATAGTTTTCAAGTTGCATAGTGAGTTAAGCATTGGGCTGCTAAACCTCAAGACCTGAGGTTAAAACGCACTACAAGTCCTGATGTGGTGCTGCAGGATAATGCACTGGGTCAAGAGGTTGTTTGAACCTCAAGATTGGAGGTTCAAACCCACCAGTCACTCCTCAAAAACCCTACACAGGGTGGCTATGAGTTGGAACCAACTTGACGGCAGTTAACAACAAGCCTCTCCTTGGGAGAAAGATGAGATTGTCTGCTCCCATAAAGACATACATTAATACAAACCCTAGGGAGTGGTTATATTCTGCTCCCTAGGATTCCTATGAATTGGAATAGACTCCATGGCAGTAGGTCTGATTTCCTTTTTTTTTTTTTTTAAATGCCTCATTGCACACATTACACTTCTGGTGCCTATTTAGAGTTTTAAAATCATCTGTTCAAGGTGCTCTCTGGGTGCTAAGGTATTTGGGCTGATGCAGCTGCGTTTATTTTCAGCGATTTCTTTTAGGAAGTACTCGTTAGTGTTTTAGTTTCTCTTTGTGGGTGTGTCTGGCCACTTTCATAGTTTTTATAGATGACAGACCAACCATAATTTCAGTGAAAATAGGACACTATTTCCTCATGACCTCATTCACGAACTCTATCAAATTGTTATCTCTTTATAGCAGGGAAGAAAGTTACTAAGCACCATTCTAACAGCTTTACACCTTCTGTACTATTAAATTTAAACTTTACGATCATCCTGCGAAGTAGGTGTTAGTGTTTCTTGTTTTATGTGTAGATGAATAAACTGAAACTCAAAGAAATGATTAACTTTGTCAAGTGATAAAGCTATTGCGTGGTGGAGCTGGAATCTTTGAGCACAGATCTGTCTGATTCTGTAATGTTTCCACTATGTCATGTGACTTTTCCTTTAGTCCTTCTGACCTTGAATTGCAAGTATGTTACAAGAAATATGCAAATATCTTTGGATGCTAAGATATCTTCTAGACTTTAAGATAAATTCCCCCCCCAAGGTGCATATTTAGATATCTGTTGTTGTTGTTCTTGTTAAGTGCTGTCGAGTTGTTTCCGACTCATAGTGATCCTGCGAAGGGTTTCCAAGGAGCAACTGGTAAGCTTGAACCACCGACCTTGTGGTTAAAACTGACCTTGCAGTCCAGTACTTTAACCCACAACGCCACACCAAGCCTCCATTTAGAAATATGCGTGGTAATTAATAATCAGCTCATAATGACCCTATATAGCTTCTAGACTATGAGTCTTTGTGGGTGCAGACAGCCTCATCTTTCTCCTTTGGTGCAACTGGTGGGTTTACACCACTGATCTTGTGGTTAGCAGCTCAACTCCTAACCCAAAGCACCACCAGAGCTTCTTATGTGGTAATATATGCCGATATTGCTCTGGTAGCAATATCGGGCTGCGATATTGCTCTGGTTATGAATCGGGCTGCGAACCTTAAGGTCTGCAGTTCAAAAGTACCAGTCGCTCCGAGGGAGAAAGATGAGGCTTTCTGCTCCCATAAAGATCAACAGCCTTGGAAACCCTGTAGAGGGTTGCTATGGGTTGGAACCAACTCGACGACACTTAACAACAACAACATTGTTGTTAGGTGCCCTCGAGTTGGTTCCAGCATGTAGCAACCTATGCACAACAGAATGAAACAGTACCCAGTCCTGCACCATCCTCACAGTTGTTGTTACGTTTGAGCCCACTGTTGCTGTTACTGTGTCAAGCCATCTTATTGAGGATCTTCCTCTTTTTCATTGATCATTCACTTTACCAAGCATGATGTACTTCTTCAGGGGCTAGTCCCTCCTGACAACATGTCCAAAGAATGACAGATGAAGACTCGCCATGCCTGCTTCTAACGAGCATTCTCACAGTACTTCTTCCAAGACAGTTTGCTATTCTGGCTGTTCATGGTACTTACAATATTCTTCACCAAGACAATAATTCAAATTAATTGATTCATCTACAGTGGTAATATATAGGGGGTCTCATGCTCTTGATCGTTAAGTGAAGATGATCCAAAAATAATTGCTATTGTAGAAAGTATGGATTGAAAGTCTGACTTAATTTTTAAAGAATGCTTAAGAAAATAGTTGATAACAGGAGATTTTGTTTTCTCATGTTCAAAACAGGAATAACAGAACTTCCTTATTGATAAATTAAATAAACTTGTGTATACAGAATTCCTTGCTTAGTGCCTGACCTATAGTTGCTGTTAGATGCTGTAGAGTCAATTCTGACTCATGTATAACAGAATACAATGCTGCCCAGTCCTGTGACATCTTCCCGATCTCTGGTATGTTCAAGTTCATTGTTGAAGCCACTGTGTATTTTTAGTGCCTTTCAACTTTCCAGACCTATCTTCCAGCTCTGTGTCATAGTAACATTCTGCTATAATCAATAAGGTTTTTGTGGGCTAATTTTCAAAAGTAGATGAGTAATGCCTTTTTTCCCCTTGTCTGTCTTAGTCTGGAAGCTCCACGGAAACATACCCACCATAGATGTAGACCTACCTGGCTGATATTTGAAATACTGATTGCCTAGCTTTCAGCATCACAGCCACACTCGAATCACCACAGTATGACAAACTGACAGTTGGGTGGTGGTAACATACAGTGAATACGTGTACTATTGTTTCAGGCTGAGTTTACAATTTCCGTTTAAAATATGATCAGTTTAATTCTCAGAATGATTCTGACATGTGGTGGAAGTAGATTGTGAGACTGAATGAATTATATGCTGTAAATGCTTTTCCTGGAATTTGGAGAGTTTTAGATATGTCTTTTATCTATTGAGAATAATAATTACTAACACAACTTATCATTCTTACCTTATAAGGTATTTTCACCTTATAGTGTTTCTGTTTCATTTTCTCTCTTGACATGCACACCAGAGTTGTAAGGCTGACTAGTACATGCAATTTTCATTTTATAAATGATGAAACAATCTCAGAAAATTTCATACATACAATAAATCAA